GTCTAGAATTGTTTTTATTTTTTTTATTTTTTTTTGCCTAAGGGAGGGGATCAAGACCCCTGATCCCCCAGATCCGCCAATGTGAATTGCGAGAAAATCCAACTCGGTCGGGGACTGGATAAACACTCTCTTTCCCCTCCCTCTCCTCCTTCTTCCTTCTTTCTTTTCTTGCATTTCATTCCGATCATACAAAAATGTCCATAGACATTATATATTTTCTGTCAAAAAGTGTGGGGGGGGGGAAACGCTCCCCACCCCCGGTTCCGGCGGCCATGCCAAAATAAGCCTTTACCAGAAATTCCACTGAGGGTAGTGTCTGTTAAGATTAGTTGGGTAATCAAATCCGATTAAAGCAATTGATCTTTCACATTCTTTTTTACATGCGTATAGTTGAACCAATAGGCTAAATTAAATTTGAACATTAAATATAACAGGTGCCATATTTGATGTAATTTAAATCAGAGATACAATAATACTGTAATAGGCCTGCTTTGGATGTAACAATGAACATAAAAGACAGAGTATTATTTAAAGTAAACTCCGTTGATTAACGTTGATCTCTAAAATCATTGAGTACGTGTTATTATGGGTACATAAAGCTACCTTCTGTACCACAGTAAATTGCAGAATAGAGGGCCTTAGATTACTGAGAATGATTGAATATCTTGCTTTGTAAATAATCATAGTTGGATATGTAAATGTACGCGTATCTCAAATTTCAAGTGTATGCCCATGGTGGTCGTAATGTGCTGAGATTTTAAATTCTCATTGAACTAGAACGCGTTCCTTGTGAAAAATTATTACGCGGTCAGTCTGTTGATATAGGTCTAGTTGATATAAGTCTATAAGGCCTGTAGCGTAATCGTATTTCTAAGCTAACTCATCTTGATTTAAGGTTTAATTAGTTAGCAAGTACCCATATAATAAAATTAATATAATCAGGGAGTTATTTCTCTCTGATATGTTGTACTTTTAAAATATATTGTCTTCTAAAAAATAATTTAAAAATCATAAAAATCAATTTTAAAATTAACTTGCTTATTTTGAAGTAAGATCAACGTATACCTGACGGTTATACCCTCCGAATCAGACGGATCCCCAAATTTTTTACTTTCAGAGTGCACTCTTGTCATAACTTCAAACAAATAACTTTCAAAATAAAAAAAAATTGAGAAAAATAAATTTTGAGTCTAAGAACGCCATTTCCGACCATCTAAAGGCGGCCATAATCATACTTTTCTTACCTCAGCCCCAACCATGGTGGGACTGAGGTAGTAAGCCTATAGACCCTCCATCTCTGAAAGTCCCTCTCCGAGCACCCTCTATTTCAAATTCCTGGATCCGCCACTGTGATCGCTTCTGAAATTAGTACTAATTGGCCTACCTACTTTACTTTTGCCATTACTCAAGAATAAATCCTTACAAGATTCAAGATATTTTCGAGGAATATAACGTGGAATCCAACATTACTGTTTTTGTTTGGTGGAAATCCATTATTGACATTCTATGTGTAGAGTTTCTTATTATTGGTTACATTATTTCGTCATACCAGTCAACATCCCTCACCTGTTCATTATTCTTGTTCATCTCTTTCCTTCATAATTTGAGTTCTTTTCTGATCTGTCGTTGTGGGTTAACATTATAATATCATTTAAACGTGAAGCAAGCAAGAAATTTAATAATATAAATCAGGATAGCCGTTAACACTGTTAAATTATATATAAATCAAAGAAAGAAATTATATATAAATCAAAGAAAGGTAAATACAATGTTCGAATAAAGGACATAATGTACCTGGCGGTTATTTAATTTCACTGTTCCCTGGTTATTTGAATCTGTTCGACCATGAAGCCTGTGGTCTAATGGTTGCGACACTCACCTTCATAGCGAGAGGTCACAGGTTGGAATCCCACCGAAGGCATTTTATAACACAATAAATTTATTTATAGGACAGCATTCATTTATTTATAGGACAGCATTTGTTGAGAGCTGCTACACGATGTACCATTATGTCCTTTATACGAACACTTTCTTCGATGATTTATATATATATATATATATATATATATATATTTATATATATACATATTATGTATATAAGATATATAGCCTATATATATGTATATAGGGTATATAGCCTATATATATATAGGCCTATATATAATATATGTATATATAGTCGAGCACTGTTTCTACCATTATTAAATTATTTACGTAATTATATTATTATTATTATTACTATTATTATTATTATTACTATTATTATTATTATTATTATTATTATTATTATTATTATTATTATTATTATTATTATTATTATTATTATTATTATTATTATTATTATTCTACGCAAGTGAGAGTGAAAAATCAGTTGCTTCTAATTGTACTTGAATTTAAAACGAAGCCCACCCAGTGACCCAGTTGGTTAAGGTGTCTGCACAGACAGAAGAAGAACTGGGTTGGAGTATTTTATTTCATTCAGTTTCTCTTCAATGACGTTTTACAATTTATAATACAAGCATTACCACATGACGGTTTACAGTTTATCTCTTAAGCCGGGCAGCACACACTATCCATCCATCTCCGCTCTGTGCAAGCGCTTAAAACGTAACTCCGGCTTTTCGTCGTCGATTCCCGTTTAAAACTGGGCACTCACTGCACCGACGACCGTCATACGACGAATCCAACTCCGTTCTCTGTGAGCGCTAGACGACTCGACGCCGTCTGCTGACTGTCGGTGGTCTGAACAGATCGTCATAACGATCCGTTGCGCGAACGTCGTGCGGCCGCTGTTCAATAGAATCGCAGTAGGTGTCCGGCTTAAGACAACTAAGATTAAGTTTGTAGGGCTGGGAGAAGGCTCGATGATTAAGAGAGTGGGGTCTTAACTGGCAAAATAAGTTGAAAATGAAGTGATTATTAACTATTTTAGCGTAAATATTTTTAGTGGGAGAGCCACTTTCTTAGTGGTGCGCCCCAAACCACCTGTAGATACGTCACTGCGAGCTACATGTGGTAGGCCTACAGAATGTGAAATGTCTATTACTTGGGATTGCTAAGCAATGTATCATCACCGTTGGAATGTCACTTTACAGTCATTGAATTGTCTGAAGTACCTATCCACATTATTAACCTGTTGGCATGAAAATGTAACACTAACAAACGAACAAACGGTCGGTGTTTGTGTTGCGTATTCCCTTGTTTAATTATCTCATTCAAAATGTCATGAAATACACTTACGATCATTATACCATTATACGACAAAGACCCAACATAACCCCAATTGAAAAGTACAAAAAGAATTGCATAATAGAAAATGCATTATCACAAACACAATCTTCAATAATAATATGATATTAATAGTAGTAAGAAGAAAAACATCATCATTGAACAGCAGCTGCAGCAACAAATAACAACAGCTATTATAAGAGAAATATATCAGCTATACCATACCTGTAAAAATAACATTTCATTATTGTTGAAAATACATCATTTACTATACAAAGTTAATGAATTATAACTTAATAGCGTTATATTAAGCTTATGTAATAATCATCGACTTTCAAGAACATAAATCATTTACTCTTCTCTCATTGCAGTCTATGAATACAACACCACACCGACCAATTAATAATAATAATAAAAAATACAGAATTAACCTATCGCATTAATTTGCTAACGCTTCTCTAAGAAATTAAAAACAACACTGTATAGCGATTCAATGGAAACGTAACCAGGCTTCCGATTGGATGTAATGCAGTGTGCGGATAGCGGTAATTATGTCTACGTGCGCGATTACCGGTTAAGTACCACTAGCTAGTATTTATTTTGTTCTGTTGACTGATCTCATATCTATCTTATATTATAATTATTGTAAAAACCTAATAGGCCTATATTGTAGCATTCGGATTTTAAAAATAATTTATTTAATTCAACTTTAAGAATAAAGGCCAAGGATATGCCAAACTGGGAATTTAAATCACTTTTCTAATTGGCAAGTTCAACGAAATTGAGCTTATGTGCTTGGTATTTTGGACAAACAGAAGATGATAAGGACTATCTTGGTAGAAGCACGAGGACAAAACACTTGAAGTCTTTCAGCTACATTTGGATCAAAATTAATTCTTAAATCTTATTAACGGTATTCAATAAAAGTCTAAAAGCTAATTAAGAGACAGCCGGCCTCGACGTAGCAGTTCCCGAAGGTTTCTTTGGTAATTATGATACAGATGATATTTTGGTAAATAACACAGAAATTCAAACACCCATTGACTAGGATGATTTAAATCGGCAGAGAAACAAAAAAGCTACAAAATGTACTCTTTTTTTTCCATGTTAATGTGACCTAGCCCCTGTAAATAACCAGCTAATCAAATGGCTAAAAATAAATGTTTTATAGAAAGAGTCACAGAAGTCTTAAAACTTTCATTATAAATAAATTAAACAGTAATAATAATGAAGATGATACTCATTCAATCAATCATGAATAGTCTTACCTGATGCAATCATGATGCCCCGACTGCAAATGATTACTCATTAAACCACACAGAAGTTTATAAGGCCACGAGATTGCTTGGGTCGAATTTTGTGGTACTATGGCCTCTCATACGAAACCCCGATAAGTGTGCCTATGGAGTCTGCCCAATGTCTTGCCAGTAAGCATTAAGACGCCATCCATTTACTATCATTTTGTAATCTGAAAAGCCAATTTACTCGTTAATATCATCCACAATTGCCTAAATCAGAGATCTATCAGACGTTATAGGGATGAATTTGCTATAATCCTATTTAAAGTAGAAGTGTTGCTTGCGTAATGTACAATTCTCCTTACCTCTATCCATTGTCGTCAGTTTGGTTACTATTATGATTTGTAAGTCCCAATGGGCCAACTCTAAAGTAGGCCTATTTTACTTAATGTCTTTCAAACAGCGTAGGCCTACAGCAATTGTAGATATTTTATACGTGTGATTTAATGATACATGTTCACACACAAACACACATACATGAATATCTTGCAGATATGCAAGTTCCATGGATGGAACTGGGGTGGGGGGTGCGGAGGAGCCAGGGCTCCGTCGGGGAGAAAAAGCACAATTCGTCAGGGAGAAAAAAAAAATTATATTTATTTTCTAAAATCGATTAAATAAGTCTTTGAAACCCCTAAATTGTCAACATTTTCGGGGGCTTCACCCCTAGACCACTTTGGAAACCTTTTAAAAGCTCGACGAAGCCCACTTTGCTTTCGTCGGGGGAATCAGCCCTCCTTCGGGGACCTCGGGCTCCCGTCGAGCAAATCCTGGCGCCACCCCTGGCAAGTACTCAACACGGATATAGCTTTACACAATCCTCCATAACGATCACTATTCATCTCATGTGATGAGTGTTTTCAATAAAGAACACTAATAGAAGAATACAAGTCAAGATCTGATTTCACTGTTCATTCATGAGACAATTACATTAACTAGGTTACCCACTCTGTGTATCAAACAAAATAATCTTTACTGATGAATCTGTGATTATTACGCCTTCGATATAGGCCTAATGTGCTGGTCGCAAGTAATCGTAATAAATTTTGTGTTTATATTTCTGAATTGCACTGTTTTTGCCTATCGGATCAATGAACACTAATTTTATTTTTACCATGTTGTTAAAATGACAATAAAGTATCGTATCATATCGTTTTATTATACATCTTAACTTTGTACATCCCCTTTAATAGTAAGACGAGACTAAAACTGATTACAAGACCATAAAAGAGCAAACCATGCAGACAGAACAAGACTCGAGCCAGTTATTATGATCAAAACCAGCAGACGAGATCCAAGATATACAAGAACGGCAGCCAGTAAACAAAACAAAACCCGAGACCCAAACCTGTAGACAACTGAAACCCAAGCCAAAATGTGAACCAAAGCAACATAAATAAACTGAGAGACAAGAACCAAACCACGATTGTATTGCATTAGAATTCCTCGATGTGAAACACACGCAAGGAACCCACGAAGATCCGAAGGACTTTCCTTCTGGTGGCGAACTGGGCACTACACCGTCCAGGGTAGACATACCCCTACTCTTTTCAGACCAAGCCAGCGAGTTTTAGTTGTTGACATTTCCATCTCAATAATTTAACTGTTATATCTGCTCTTACTTTACTGGTGATCAGATTAGCAAAATGTAGGACACTATAGTCTCCTCTCTAGGTAAGAGGTTATCCTTTGGTAAAAATGTATGTTCAACATATTAAACGTTCATAACGTCAACTATCTGCTGCTACTAACTCTCTTTTATCGACTGTGATATTTGCTCGACGTGAGAAACCTCGGCACATCAAAATACAACTACCTGTTAACGGAAGTTTCGGTATTTACATTTAACAACTCGCTTAAACGTCTACTGTGCAGTAAGGGAAGCGCATGTTGATCTTGATGTTGACGCACAGTGCGACGCGGGTTATGAGACTAGTTGACGAATCGTACTGATCCTACAAAACACAATTGTCGTAAAGATGGTCGTTACACTAAGCTTCTTACTGTTGGCTATGGTACTCTACTTAGATGTTCATTTCACATAACTCAACGACCATTTGACACAATAATTCTAAAGTTGATGATGTTGTTCTTGCTGTTGCTGTTGTGTTCTTAATGCTGCTGTTGCTATCTGTTATTGTTATTGCAGCTGTGATTGTTATCATTGTCGTCGTTGTCATTTTTGTTATCTTTAACAATTATTTCGATATTGATACTGTATTCTTATGGTTATTGTTATTAAAATTACTGCTTGTTATTAGTAGGCCTATAGGCCTACTTAATAAATAAACAAACACATACATATTTGTAAACATTACACAGCGAGTTCGTAGCACAGTTAAAGTTTCATGTTTCAACTTGTCACTACTTTGGTATGAGTATCAATTTAAAATTCACAACACGTCATTTTTTATGTCACGAATATATAATTTTTATACTCTGGATAATAAATAGTTCGCATAAATATGTCATTGCTATTATAATACTTATATAAATTTATAACGCGCATAACTGTAATAACCTTAATGCTCTTGTCACATTTTTACCCCAGTCAATGAAACAACCGCCAAGGAGCATACCATCATGTTGCAGCAGTAATTGTTCTTGGACCTAACAGATACCCGCTAATCACGCCTAGATGGTGAGAGACAATCGTAGGTAAAGTGTATTTCCCAAGGACACAAGCGAAATTTACAATGGCAGTTCGAACCTCCGACCTTAAGGTTAGAGCACGATTTACAACCGCTGCGCTTACCGCGCCCACTCCGCTTAGTGTAACAAGGAGGGATAAACCCACTCACACAGAGCAGTTTATAAAAACCCAATTCTTGTTGATGTATGACGTTTTCAAAGCTCAAGAGAGATTTTATCGAAACCAACAAGATGGTACTACCCGAATATTTAACGAGCCATGAAACATACCATCACAGTTATGAGCCACCTAATCCAATGAACCCCGAAAGCGTGTTCCTTCAAGGAAATAAAGGGTCATAAAGACCAGTGGCTCCTGGAACAAAGTCATGTTAGCTATGAGATAAACATTAAAATATCACAAAATAAAATCAGATTTAAAAAAAATTAAAAAGAATAAACAACAGAAAACAATGAATAATCGAACACAGCTCAGTGGCCTATATTACAACCAATTGGAATTAGTAAATATAAGTACTGTATTACGGACAGTAAGTCAATACAAATACAATATAGGCCTACCTTGGAATGAGAAACAGTAAACCTATATAAAAAAATTCAATTTGTCTTCTTCAAGGGTCGGATTTTACCGAAGATTATTGTGATAAAATCTGGACGTGTAAATAAGGTATGCAAAAGAAAATAAACCTAATAAGTTTTCTGGCTGTTACTTAGGCCTATCATTTGTTACATAAAGCTTTGTGAAGTCGCTCATGTACATTTTCAGGCAAATTCTATTAGGCCTATTTTTATATTTGCTTCAATAACATTGAAGCATGAAATATGCAATTGCAATGTATTATTCACAGTTTCTATTAATAAAATAATACCATAGTAATAATATTAGTACGTAATTGTATTCGCTAAATTTATTGCATTGAGGGCGATATCACATTTTGTTTCAGATACGACTGCGATCAAAATTAACATATTGTAGCAGTTTGATTCTTTCCTCTTGAAACATTGCTCACAATTTTTTTTTTTTTTCAAATGCTCTTGTGTTTACTGAACATACCGTAACGTATTGGGATCTTTTAAATGGATACCTAACTGAAAGTTTTGGGATTTAAAAAAGTATTACTAACAAAAGCTCAGACACGAACAGACCCTTTTTGGGATAAGAAAGTTACTGAATGAGTACTCTGATCTTCATGAAATAGCACTACAAATGCTGTAATACGTATGTATACGTATTCATGTGTGTAAGTAAACAGTATATCTTTAAATTGAACATTCAGGATGGTCCTACTGCATAGAAATAGGGAAGATATCTATATAAAGAACTGTATTTTAAATACCAACTTGCTATACCTAATTGGTAGGGTTTATTAAGAGGAATTGATTAGTCAAATTTGTCGAATGTTTAGCCCAATTCAAATACAGAAGGATTGATGCGGAGATTGTTTCAAGAATCTGGTGTTTGGTAAGGCTATGGATAAGTCAGGGAAGGTTTGCACCGTAGCGGATTAAAAATCATTTAGAAAATGGGTCAGAGATTAAGGTTGGTTTTTGAACCGATGTAGGCCTAGTTGCTTATAACTTTAGAAATAGTTAATCATGAACTTGTTTCGAATTAAGAAATTGTGGAAGCAATGTAGTAATATAATCAAAAACCTTACGGGTGATTGAGTTAGGACTGATGGCTTACAAGAAAAAAAAAAGTATAGCTTTTAGTTCTTGTAGAATGCTGGTTACTTTCTTCTGTATTTTAGCGCAATTCAACGCATTGCCAGCTCATCCATTAATGTAATACATCAAATTTATTTAATGATGTATATTAGTATCACCCTTACAAGAATGGTAAGTATAGCTTTTAGTTCTTGTAGAATGCTGGTTACTTTCTTCTGTATTTTAGCGCAATTCAACGCATTGCCAGCTCATCCATTAATGTAATACATCACATTTATTTAATGATGTATATTAGTATCACCCCGACATAACGTCAATGCCAATTCTAAATGTCAGTCATGAAAGTTATATTACTAATTAGCTTCTACTCTTAGACATCCGTAAACATATAAATGATAAACCATACTTATAAATCATTTGATGAAGAACCGTTTAGAAAGGGCGAGTTTGAATAGGGAACAGTTCTAATTTATCTGTTCCCTGGTTTGACAAAGCTCAGCAGAAGAGAGCTGAGAGAAACGTGATAGCGCCAACGTGCGCCTACTGTACATCAAAAGCTTATGTGATTGATATTCAATGTCCGTCCGTCCATGTGGTCAAGTGTCTTGCTGCCCTCAGCGATCAGATAACTACTTTACCTTAATATTTGGTTTAAATAAAAGACAAAATAGATAAAGTAAGAGCTTTAAAGGTTACATTTATCAAAAATAATCGTAACCATTTTTAAAGGTGGTTTCAATAACAGTAGTCCTATGTCCATCTCAAAGCTGGAAGTCGTTTTGTATTTTTAACAAAAGATACACAAACTATCATGCTGAATTGCCTCGCTCAGAATAAAAATAAAAATAACGAGAGTGTGTTTTTTTTTAAAACGTTGGTGTTTCGTTTTGCACCATAGCAGATATTCTCAGGAGACAGATATTAGGCCTACTTTAAGAGAGTTGATGACGATTGAATACTGCCTCCTAACAGTGTTTAATTAGCCGTCGAAGAGAATTAATTGAGTGATGCATTTGAAAACGACAAAAAAAGTTTAGTTTTTGATGGAGTTGCTGCAAGCAATTGTTTCACTATAAAAACACAGACCTATATAACACATGGCAAGCACAACACTGAAGCTTATGGTGCTAGGATATAATCATGGCATCGAAATTAGTTGTAAAGGTGTCTATTTTTGAGACGTGGAAAAGCCGTTGATGATGGATTTTACATGAACAAGAAGATCTTGTTTTGCTATGCAAAGTCCTGAATTAAGTATAAAGCAAATTAACCTACTTGCTCCCTCTCCCCTCATAATAACTATGATCTTGTAAAGATTACAACTTAGTAACCTCATAACTTTCCATGGATCTTGGGAAAGTTGGCATTAACGGATGATTTCTATGTGATAATAGATAGTGCTATGGTATTATGTGGAATTTTTGCTTCTCATTGACCTATTAGTGCGGTAATGCTGCCTCGATCCCAAGATTACTCCATTGAATTATGATAGTGTAAACCATAGAGAAAAAAAGCAGGTAAACTAAGCTGTAAACATAAGCTTTATTCCCTCAAAAGACAATAAGAAAAATTAAATAAAGCAATAACATAGCTTCCTCTTTGGCTCAGATCCTGACGTCCGTCATGATGTTTTTTCTCACTGAAAATACTAAATTTTCACTACCCAAGCCCGTTAGACCTATAAGGTTAGTGTTTAGAACATAATCTTCGTCTTCCAAGCTAAAAGTCTTCCGACATTGCGAATTTAACGAAATCTTGTCGGAGCGACTTTTGGCCAAACTGCGCATAGACCTGATTTTAAAAGATTTATTTTTCTGATTATAGTTGAGAACATAACACAGGTTATTCTTGCAATGGTCAAAGGTGTCAGCCAGCAATTATTTTAAGAAATGTCTACGATTTATATGCAGAATTTTCGGGCGAACAGTCACATGAGAAGGATCATGTATATCTATAGGCCGAATAGTTTCCGAGTTGTTTACTAAAGCATCCCCGTTGAGTAATTTCAGACACATTTACACACTACATTATTAAACGGGTGTTTTCATGCGTGATTTCGAAATCTCTCATAACTTGGAATGTTTTCCAGAAAAAAATAATGATAATAGTTTAACGTAGACGTAACATCCATCGGCAACGTTATTTTCTTTAAAGATGGCGATTATGTAAACTAAAATTATAAGAATAAAAATCAGGAAGGGGAAAAAGTTCTTCGGCCCCTTTCGGTCATAGTCATAGATGCACCAAGAAACGCGAGTTTCTGGGGTTCATTAAACTCTTTTCAACTTCAATTTGATATTTTAGACCAAATTACTTTACTTGGTGCTTGGAACTTTTCCACTATCCGAATCTATTGCCCAGATAAACTGAAATTTAAGTAAGTTATAATTGGCGATATTGTAAAAAGTTGAGACAGTAGAATTGATAACGACAAGCTATTACGAATACAGGCATGAAATTGATCGTTCATGAATGAATTTTAACACATGTAGATTTGCTTCAGGTGAAACCCCTCAATGCACTCAGTTGCTGACAGACAGGTGTGTTGGTATCAATTACGGAGAGGAGTGCACAAATCTTAAATCTAATAATCGGTCATCACGCAGCATTAATATTATTCTTGGTTGTTCCCTCAATCGCACATTATCACACTATGTATCTATTTATTTGTTATTAATTTAGTAAACTTCTCACATATGCAAAAATACATAGGTGAAGGAGTCGAACAAGCAGGTGATGAGCACCTCCCCAAGGGCTCGCTTCTTACAATAAAAATACTAAATAGAAATAGAAATATATATACAAAATGACGGTACAAACACCGAAACAATAAAATTTGAAAAAAAAAAATTAAAAACGTCAGGAAGTATGCTAAAGGAAAAACAGTCACGACGACATAAGGCAAACAAGAATTGCCAAAGAGAATATAAAAATCATTTAAATAGAAATTGCCACTGTAAATTTTCAACATAGAAATATGTAGAATAAATAATAAAATCGATGAAAATAAAAAAGTATCGGTATTAAAGAAATTTATGAGGCTCCTTATTAGCGCCAACTCCGATTGTATAGTAGGCTCTTGTAATAATTATCTGAGCTTGGGAATCAAGTTTTGTGTTACTGTCTTTGATTTGTTCAGCTTTTCGTGATGGTGATGCGTTTGAGAAAAATCAAATGTAAAGAGGCCTATTTGTAAGTTTATACTATACGTGTTAAATGCTTGGATGCGACACACTGTGGCAAACAAGTGTATATACTTTCAGAAAGAAAACATTTGTAAATGATTCCATTTTCCTGCTTCCCGCTGTTTATGTTTTCTCGAAATTCCAATCTGAAATGTATGCTCTTATACACTGTAATCCGACGATTCCGCTTTGCAATGTATTTTCGCCCTGCACTGCAAATCCGCTCTGTACTTCAGTTTGCCCTTTGAATTATTGTCCATTATTATGTTTTATTATAGGGTATGAATTGTCTAATGCGTTACGAACTAAATAACTAACTATAGGGTATGAATTGTCTAATGCGTTACGAACTAAATAACTAACTATAGGGTATGAATTGTCTAATGCGTTACGAACTAAATAACTAACTATAGGGTATGAATTGTCTAATGCGTTACGAACTAAATAACTAACTATAGGGTATGAATTGTCTAATGCGTTACGAACTAAATAACTAACTATAGGGTATGAATTGTCTAATGCGTTACGAACTAAATAACTAACTATAGGGTATGAATTGTCTAATGCGTTACGAACTAAATAACTAACTATAGGGTATGAATTGTCTAATGCGTTACGAACTAAATAACTAACTATAGGGTATGAATTGTCTAATGCGTTACGAACTAAATAACTAACTATAGGGTATGAATTGTCTAATGCGTTACGAACTAAATAACTAACTATAGGGTATGAATTGTCTAATGCGTTACGAACTAAATAACTAACTATAGGGTATGAATTGTCTAATGCGTTACGAACTAAATAACTAACTATAGGGTATGAATTGTCTAATGCGTTACGAACTAAATAACTAACTATAGGGTATGAATTGTCTAATGCGTTACGAACTAAATAACTAACTATAGGGTATGAATTGTCTAATGCGTTACGAACTAAATAACTAACTATAGGGTATGAATTGTCTAATGCGTTACGAACTAAATAACTAACTATAGGGTATGAATTGTTTTGTCACCGATGCCACAATTTTAAAAAATCACGTTATTCTTAACTAAAAGTGTGATTCTGTCAGCAAATGGTATTATACAGTAAATGACGAGTATTCATACATTGTAAGTGAGTGGCTATCAATGCCCAGTAACTGGTAAATGCTCATCATCATGCGTGAGGTCAGCCTCGTTAATTGTGGCGAGAGTACAAAATGCGCAGAAGCAATTCAATATAATGACGTCACGCTCAAGATTCATAAAAAAATGAAAGCTTATTCATTTACGCCATCTATAGCTTTAGACAAGACCGCAGCGGGTTGCACACCAATTGAGTGGTCAGACACCTCAAGAAGTGACGTCTGCACAGCAATAATATAAATGTATAATACTTCCCAGTAGTGAAATTAAAGCCTTAAATGTGAGCTCTTGCTCTTTATGGCGATTATTGGCGCTCAAGTTCTGTACTTCATTTCGAAGGTTTCAATTTAAGGCTAAGCCCAAGGCAACATCACACAGTAGGACTACGTTTTAGGGGCCATAACACCACTTTACAGCAAAAACATAGCACAATATAATAGTAAATAATTCCGAAAAAGTATTTTTTGTCAGTACAGCTAAACTAGTTTTTCCAATAAGCAAATCATTTCTTTAAGAATTCTAACAAGTGGAAAAGTATGGCCAACAAAAGTAAATTAAAACAACTAATGTGTGCAGCCCGCCTACACCATATTCTGCTAAAAATCCCCACAAAACCTATTGTCTTTGCGACACGTCACCGATCATCATGTGAAAGTATTAAAACTAAGTTTAAGGTATATTGCATGACGTTTTACAATTATAGTGGACATTTCAATTTTCACCATAACCTATACAAACTTTTTATAGGATCTGTTGTATAAGATTGTGTGCGAACCACAGTGTAAAATAAAAAATTCATTTTGGCCCTTTGGACCATTTTTATGCCTACCCCTGGTTTAATAGGCCTATCGTTAAAAGACTTAGGCCTAATTATAATTTAATGTATACATATACCTTTAAGGATTTTGCTGGACTGTTTGTTTGACGGTGAACAATAAATGCTTTAGGATATTTACTCGGTAATATATATAACAACTCGTCATTTCGGTCAGTTGGTTTCAATATTCCCCTGTTAATACTCTACGATATTTTTTGTGATAGTGATACAACTGACTGATGCCAACTCTGCAATATTCGATTTAGGGAAATTATATTTTGATTTGATACGGAAAAGTAGGTTTCTACTCATGGGACTTAATGAATGGTTTATACATAGGGTGGCGCTGAACTACAAAGTATCTGTCGTTGTACTACAAAACTACTGTGTTTCAATAAATTCAAATTCTCGTTAGGCCTATATTTTTGTATTTATCATTGTCCAGGCAAAGAGTTTGCACACATCAAACAGATCAATTAATAAACATGTCATTTTCTATTACGACATTTCAACATCTTTCTATTCGTGAAGCGGCTGCTATCGTACTCTTTGCCCAATACATTACCAGAGAAAACTATGGAAATTCCTAGTCATAGACCAGTGATTATCAGGGCCTTCTTGATGTGTAGGCCTATAATGTTTGCCCTCTGGCAGATGCTTTTTAGATTATTGCATATTATTGCAGAATAAATAGAGTTCATGTCATCGACCTATTGTGCCACATTACAATTCGAATGTCGATGTTAATCAGTTTATTTCCGTCGCCGTATACGCGGTAGGGAGCTTTTGATTACAAGACGATGGAGGACTAACGTCACTAAGAAGTCGCCTGGATTTTCGACCAATCTGGCCGAGTTTCTAAATTCGAATTTGTGCAGAGAACGCAGAGTGGTCACGGATGAGTGAATCTGTTCTATATAGGGTTACGTCGTCGCGTAAACCTCTGCCGAGTGCGTCTCACAGGTCCATGCTTTAAGCAACTCTCACACTATCACGACCTATATGCACTGCGATCAGTATACGACCGACACCGACCAGTGAGAGAGCTGCTATGAGCAACTTGCTCGTGTAGAAGAGAGGGTCGTCGATGGTCGCGGAGTTTTCAACATGTTGAAAAAAATATAGTGGTCGGTACTAGTCGCCAGGTCCTCTGCTTCCGGTCAGATACGACCGTAAGTCGGTACGGTCGCATTGTTAGGTCGCGATAATGTGAGACGTGCTTAAGGCATCTCTTCAGAAACAAAAGTACGGTATTAGATATTACTTTTCTGTTGATCCGTACACTGGAATCATGCACGTTCATGTTCCGTTCCTAACATGCATATTAGGCATTGAATATTTAAAACATAATCCACATTTGTATGCAATTTTTACGCATACTATGTGTAATATCCATATTTAACACAATTATAGCACACAAACATGGTAATGAAATGAAAAAAATAAGAAGAATGTTTACGCTTAAAAATGAATAAATCCATATCATAATAATGATAATAAAAATAATTATAAAATTTGTTTTCACAATAGTTAAAGGTTAAAAAGGTAAGGTTGGCAGGTATATTTTAGTACGGTAATTAAAATTGAAGGTACTATAGTAACCATAATCATAATCTCAATTTGAATCACATGTGCAACCCTGACACCTTGCATACCATCGTAAAATGTGCCACATCTTATTAAATAGTAAGCCTACTTATCACGTGATTTGTGATTTGTAACTGAGATGGCGTTTTCTCTTATCGCATGCGCAGTGGTGGCTGAGTCAGGATGTAAACGGATACGGTATGCACGCTCTACTCGAAAGACTCCACTCACAAGCTAGAGGGCTGGGAACGCATATGACCTCTATTGTCAATCAGGTGCCCAACCCTAGTAGGGGTTAAGGGAGTAGAATAACGATCTAAAAATTTTCTTATTATTCCAAACGTTTTCATAATACTTTGTGAGTGAAGATTTTTTTGTTATGAAATATTAACGAATAGGCAAGCGTAGCATGACATTTATAGACTTATTTGAATTTAGCAGGCCCGTGGCGTGTGGGGGGGGGGGGGGGGTTTAGGGTGTTACAACGAACCGCCCAAAAACTTGAGAAGGTCCGCATTTTAAAAAGAAAAATAGATATATTTACAATGTTCTCCAGAGTATCGGAGATTATTAAGTCACGTACGGGCCTGCTTAGGCCTATATTTGAATTTGTTTTGGTAGCCGGTAATCAAGAGATTATATTGAAAAGTAAAGTCCAATTATTTCCTCTTAAAAGACATCGTACGGATTCTTTGCACACAAAAACAGCGACAAATGAATCATGTCTACAAAAGTATTAAATAAATATATCCCCAGACTTTTATGGGTTGTTCTTTGAGTCCTCACACACAAAAAAGCCAACAAACCAAAAAAAGTCAACAGATTAAAAAAAATAATAATTATTTTCTATCTTTTGTTTACTCGCTCACTGTCACTGGGTTCAGGTCCATGTTCACGTGGATAAAGCCAGTCTCCTGGGAACCCAAAAGTAGGAGAATAACAGAAGGGGTAGAAGCAGAATAGATCCACCGTAGTTTGCGCACTGCACCAGCTACGGACAGGTTAGCAACTGCCGAACTGCGTCGAATATCCGAATAGAAAACTCACAACGAATAAGTAAATTACAGTGGTATCTCCGAATGCAGTTACGGCACCAGTAGCGTGACATCGGTACCCCAAGTCCGTCCACTATCTGAATGCTTAGAAGTAGAGCAAGCAAAAATTACACCTCCAAGGCCCGGGAGGGTAAGACAATTAAAATTTTAGAGTAATTCTACTAATACAATACAATATCAACACATATTTGGATAATAGAAGGATATTAATTGTTTGAGAATAGGCCTATACTCTTGCAAATACATTGTTGAACTCATCTATGTTTAGGCCTAGGCCTACTTATTGTCTGGGTGTACGCACCAGTCGGTCATGACCCGTTGTGTTTCTCCCCTCATAAATAATTGCTTTTCTCCTTATGTTTTCAATTTGTTTGAATTGTAGTTCAAGTCTCGTTGTAACATTTAACAATGTTCATACTCTTAAAGTGATTTCCATTTTTCTGCCCGTAACATTCTACTGCATCCGCGCGCCAGCGAATTGCATTCATTCTTCAACGACTATTAAAATTAAACATCCTGTGATCTCCATGCGACTGGATGAGTAACACGACTACATGTTGACGCGCCAACGCCACTCTGCGTCGACCTAATATGAATACAATGTACTGTCCGAGCCGTCTGAAAAGTTGGATTAAACTCAACTCTCTGCTTAGCAAAAAGCCGCGACCGATGGTTGTACCCATAATACGCCTGCCTATATATATATTTTTTAATTTGACTATTCATTATATACTTTTATCTCATTATCTGGAAAAGTTCAGTCAAATCTGGAAACCAATTGACGTAAACCGAAACATAAGTTTATAGACAATGTTTATCACTGCCCCTTATATTGCCCGTAGTCAGAGTTTTGAATGTATTCTTTTTCCATTATTGCAAACCTGATATTACGATTACTTTCTGTAGCTCTGTTTTTACAGAGGTGTATAATGCGTCCATTGCATTTTTTAAATTAAAAGACGACATTGACTTAAACAGAATTCTTCCGTCTTACCTCCGTATAATTATTCACATTAGTATTGCACACAACATAAAAAAGTTAAGTGAATTGCGAAACTAAACTGATATTCCCATGCGTTGTAGATTGTTTTATTCAGGCCATTTTAATAAATAATTTAGGATACAAGGCCAACAAATAAACTGCTAATAATTACGTTTTGGCATTGACGCATTCGATGTTATGTTTGCTGTGCATTGGTCACCATTGGCGGATCTGGGGGGAGGGGGTCAGGACCCCTGACCCTCCACCTTGAGCAAAAAAAAAAAAGATAAAATAAAAAATAAATAAACAAAGTCAAAGAAAAAAAAAATTAGATCTACCTTTTCAGGACCCGTGAGCTAAAATTGTTTTTGTTACAAATGGGAAAATTAGAAGTCTGGAAAGCTCATTTTCCGCCATCTAGGAATCAAAAATTTTCCCTGGGGAGGACCACGACCCCCTTCCTTTTCAGGGATCCTCAATTCATGGGAAAAAAGAATACGTACGCAACTACTCAAATTTTTTTTCTGTATGTATGCACAAATAATAGATTGTACTTTAATAAGAATAAGAAGAATTTACCTAAATGTTAAACCTTGAATTTGAAGAACTTATAAAAGGCATTAAAAGACACATCAGAGGTCGGTAAAGCTCATTTCCCGCCATCTAGAAATAAAAATGTCCCGGGGGAATCCGGACCCCATTCTCTTTGGGGTTCATCGATTCATAAAATTGTTTTCAAGAGGGGAAACCTAGAATTTTGAAGAACTTAAAAGTTATTAAAAGACACATCAGAAGTCTGGAAAGCTCATTTCCCGCCATCTAAGAATCAAAAATTTCCAGGGAAAGACCCCATTTATTTTTTAGGGTTTTTTGAAAACATTTTCAACCCCCTCCCCTCTCTCCCACCCCACCCGCAAGATTTGAACCCAGATCTACCGCCTGGGTCTACAGAAGATTGTACCAAGAAAATTAGTAACATCCCTTGATGAAACAATACCAGGGAGCAATCATTTTGCAATAGGAGAACAGTGATAAATGGTCAAGTTGTGGCATCCAATCCTCAAACAGAGAACGGAAAGAATTAAGTATAAATCAAATTAAATTTCTTAATAAGCTATTAAGTAAGTATTAATTAGTTTATCTATCTTGAAGTTGTACCGAACTGACGGTTCAACGATTCAATCATGAAAGCATGTCTACAATACTTTATATAAACTTGAAAAGATGAATAATATTTCTGAGGATTGTATTACTATAATTTGCAATTTGAGTATTCGTAGGTACATTGCCGGTTTTTAAAGTCGTCATATAACAAAACAAACTCGTATAGAATGTCATAATAGAGATAATATGTGCGAATATCCGTGTACAGTAATATTAATTGCGGTCATCGTTACACAACTGACCTCTCCCAGTAGATGTTGTTTCTACACATTAGTTACCCGGTATAATTATTAAATGCGTTAGATTATGATTACCATCAGATCCCCAGGTGTGCGTCTACAATGATACTCCTGAGCTGCGCCATTTTTCAGTCACTTTCCAAGAACGTGAAGAAGGCTACAGACCTCAGTTTGGGAGCCCGAGAGCCAGAAATCGTCTCGAATAGGCCTACTTATCAGATATTACTGTAAGGCTCATAATCTCTCCACAGGTGAGATTAATATTAATCTGTATTCTCATAACTCAAAAAACAGTCTGTTCATTTAGGAATCCTACTTTTTTTTTGCAAATTGTAGCTTGGTTGTTCGGTTTATGTTTTGTCATAGGTCACAATTCAGTAAGAAGCAATTGTTTCTCTCAACTCCAGCTTCATAACTTTTGTATAATCGTTGTTGGAGTATTACCAAGGTATTAGCTTCTGCTCTGGTAGGATTCTCCACCAATACATAATAAAGTAATGATCTAAAATTCTTAAAATCCTATACAATTATTATAGAATTTTGTTTTTTCTCCTCCCTTTGGCAATACAATATTCCTATTTAGGAATAATTAAAGAGGACACATGCACAATTGCACATGGTAAGTAGCGCAACAAGTGTAAAGGGAATGGGGAGAGTGTTTTTAATATCCTGTTTTTATTGAAAAAATGTTTAATTAAGTGCTGAAATAGATCCAGAAATGCTGCCTACGAATTTAAATTACGAAATTATTTTATGAAAAACGATCATGAGTCTTACAAAAACAAACCTCTAGAATATATTTGCAATTGCTCCTATAAATACCATACATCTTTCAAAGATCTGTGTAGAGATTGCTTAATGTTTTGTAGTGTCTAATAACTACATCCGCAATTATTTCTACACCTGCTAGTTTCAGAAGACATGGATAATAACCATAAATATAGGGACACACGATCATTACAACTATATGATTTACGTAGGCAGTGCCTTTAATCGTAATTTGTATTACCCAAGAGAGTTTCTCCTCTTCGTTGTATTGATATTCAGCACATTTGTATAATTATTATAATTATATCGACAACTAAGGGGGCGGATGCTACTAATGTCTGAAGTGATTTGTATTATTACATTCCTTTTTTTTAGGACGTATAAATATTTGCTCACGTCTTTACGAAAGAACAAGTGATCCCAATAATTGCACACACAAAAAGCGACAAAACTATATATTTTTCTCGTTAATATGTTCATTTCAACTTGAGATTACAAAATAAAAACTTTTGTGAACAAAGTAAGACATAAAATTGAACTAGCTTGTAATCCTAATTAAATAGGGTTGGCTACGCAACTGTCTTGATGAAGCATGCGACGTCACGAAGCACGTTTTACCAGATGAACAGGAAACGCGATACTATCATCAAAGATTATGTTTTGATTAAATGTAACATTATACTAGTTATATAGACTAAAAAATTCATTGTATGAAATGTCAACTTAGGATGTGAGATATCGAGAAAGTCAATATACCTCCAAGAAAAATTGAGTTTGCATGTTATGCAAACCCGACGAACTTAAATCATTTCGGTATCAATATATAGATTTGACACATTCCGACATTGTTGTAGAGAAATACATAGTATAAAACATTCTAGACCTTATTTATTTTCATTCTTCGGCATTTTACTATCGCTGTTGGTTTGAATATGCGGAATGAAAGCAATAATGATGATGATGATAATAATAATAATAATAATAATAATAATAATAATAAATGCAAATGTAAAACATAGAATAATTAATTTACTATAATGATTAAAAATATATTAAAATTTCAATGTTATACGGTACCGTATAGGATGGCTTATCAAAATCTGAACCGCGCTAAATGACTTGATTACAAATTTAAAATATAAATATTTTGCTTATACTCATCATTTTTCAACTATGTTGGTTTTTTTTCAATGACCCATTATATTCATCGAGATAGAAAGAATACGTTACTCCATGCGTGTGCCTGATTTTATTAGGTTCCAATTCGTGTCCATGACGTCACGACTTATGATATGACTTTCGATGACGTTAAACAATTGCTGACCTTTTTTTCTGTGTGCAATTCGGAATTTATTTCCTCTTTTTTCGTATTTTGCATACCTAATTGTTTTGGTTTTTAACTATGTTGTTGATATGTACGACAGCCCATTCTCTTACTACTGTAAATACATTTAGCCTGGGAGGTATGTCCATATTCATTAGATGGGTTCGTTCTGTGCACAGAACAACCCCACCAGCTGAGTGTTGTTGTGTGAATAAGCGTTTGAGACAGATAATTCGTAACAGAATCTGGGTTAACACAAACGTAAGCCAAAAATAATCATCTCCAATGATGCCTTCAAGAACATTTTGCAAGAAAAATGGAGTGATTCCTTTATGTATTCACATGAATTGCCTGCGTACACCTCAAAATTGGTTTCGTCAATAAATACGTTCTCGTTATTTTAGGAAAGAATGAAGACGAACGTTGTGTCGTGATAAAAAAAAAAGAAAAACAAGTCAAACTAAAATCTCCATGTTAATGTAATGGCAACGAATAAAAATAATATATACCGGTACACGAAGATACGGTAACCTTAAGTGATATACGTTCAATAAGTCTATGTTGAACCGTAATGTTAACTTAAGTGAAATAAAACACAAATACAAAAAGGTAAATAGGCCTACATGGATTAGTTAAAATAGAGCTTTTAATTTAATTAATTTAACTGAAACTGTTTCTACTGATATTTTCTACTGAAGTAGCGTATCGCAAAATACCAACACACAGAAAACTACAAGCATGAGCTCGCTATCACTGAATCGAAATGTAGAGCAAATATACGTGTGCTGCGCTCAACAATTAAACGGATCGTATAAAACAACCACACAAATAGAGGAAAGTGAGAAAAACAAAACGGTAACGAATACTCAGATACGTAAAATGTTGACTTTAAGCTTGTGTTTACAATACCTACATTTCTCGTATTCTTGAAGGAATTCTCAACAAGCTGTCAATTATTTTTAACTTATTCTATAACGAGATTTTGAAAGTGCACAGTATGAACTCCGGTCAATGGACAGATATAATGTGTCTGCCACCAAAGATGTCCTCGCTTAGTACTGAGAGGCAACATGGTTATATTATTGGTAATTCTGGTAGCTGCTGTGTCTAGAAAAATTGGCAAATATTAACAGACACCATAAGAGCGTCGTCTTCTTGGTCAGCTCGCCATGTTTTTAAAAGCTAGAGAGATGTTACGGATTTAGTCCTCGTCGGAAAGCAAAGGTTGCCGTTGCTCAAACAAAGACATAATAGATAACGATAGAAAAGTGCTGAAATGTTTGCGTTCTTTTATTATAAAAAGCCGATAGTAAGCATGTGCTCACACATGTTATTATTTATTTATTTATTTATTATTATTATTATTTTTATTATTATTATTATTATTATTATTATTATTATTATTATTATTATTTTACAGATTAGCTAAATGTTACCCCGTGTAGTGTTTATAATATATCAAAAGATTGACTCAAACAAATTAGAAGAGAAAATGTGGAAGTTTAGTAGTCTGTTAATGTCGCTTTCAGCGCATAAATACCATATTATGCGCCATACAAATCCCCAACCATTACCATCTAATGTAGAAGCTAGACCTACTTCAACCTTACTATATCATCCGTCAACCATAATTACTTCATTGACTCAAGTAATTAAGGTTCAAACTTATATTTAATAGAGTCATGATATAATTACTGTATACAAATTTGAGTTGACTGTTGGGAAACGCAGTACCGTACACGTTTATATAGACAGCGTTAGAGTAACCTTCGTACTAAAATACTTTAAGAGCATATGACACATTTACATAAATCTGGAACAAATTATTTTCTCGAATAATGAACTCCAACAAGTTCAGATCCGCCAATATCAATGAAACTCAATCTCCATTTATGTATCACACAATAGCAGGTTTAAATAATATTTAAATAATTACCAGTAGTTCTTAGGTGATGCAGTTAGGCCTATATTAATTCATCAGTTTAGAATTACTTCAACTAATTGCATAGAGGAAACTTATGAGAGAGCAGCTTAGCTCAGTCGGCTAATCTGGTGGTAACCACCGTGTGTGCGCTGAACCGTGGATATTTCTAGGTCCCCGGCTTAATTCCCATCGCTGCCTCTCCTTGTGTTTCAGCTTGAGGGCTGAAATACAAGTTATAATAGCGCACCGTCTTTCGGATGAGACGTTTAAGCCGTTGCTCCCGTGTGCATTATAGCCCATGTGCACGTTAAAGAACGCAGTACACTCTTCGAAAAAGAGTAGGGGATTGTCTCCCGGTGTACTGCCCAATTACCACCAGAAGGACCCCACTGGAAATAATTTCGTGGGCTATCCGTGGTGTTTACATTGAATAAATCCAATCCAATCCAAACATATATGTCCTGTCAGTTCAGATGATGATGATGATGATGATGATGATGATGATGATGATGATGATGATGATGATGATGCTGATGATGATGATGATGATTATTATTATTATTATTATTATTATTATTATTATTATTATTATAAGCTGCTCTACACATGTTTTGTTCACAGTTCTACTGAAATTATGTTACGTCAGTGTTAGCTTTTCGTAACTTCATTGAAATCAGTTTTGTAAAACCGATGAAATCAGTTTCGGGTTGTGCTTAAGAAATTACTCTAAAGGTTATTTTGGAGTTGAAATTGGCAAATTCAATTAAACTAACTAAACATGTCAATATCAATCTGACAGTCTTCATCGAACTAAAGATTAGTAAACAAAATAATGACAAAAAATGTTAAATGACAAAATGGTTCGTTGTTTTTTTACAGCAAGCTCCATAAATTTCAAGATTATTGTTGAACTAAAAAGACGTTTAAAGTTAGTAGGTCCAGTCGTACATTAATACTAAATTATAGAAGTTCTGTTATAAATCAACGTATAGCAGTGTAATTAGCGTGCCTTTACAGGACACCTTTTTTCAGCTCCGATGAGGAGCTCTAGGAATGCTCGGCTGATTGATAAATAGATTCTTAATTAGATATACTCACTGACTAAATCTAATTTAATAGATTATTTTATGTTTGGGTGGCCGTTAGGTCCAATACACTACTGCCTCTATTATACTGCCCTCATCGAAGCTTTCGAGATTACAAGACTTGTTTTGTAAGAACCAGTAAAAGTTTGCCCACGCTCAGTGTTCTCATATTTGTGTACTGCATTATGGAGAGTATTACATAGTCATCATAGTCATGATTTGTTGGTTTTCTATTTTTAAAAAAAAAACATTATTTGACATTTTTCCTCAGCCTCTGCTCATATTTTGTTCTTAATTTTTAAGCAATTTCAGCCTCAGTATTCTTATAAAATGCGTTCTTATAAAACAGTAATGAACACGTATTATCGTAAATATGGCTGTATAACACCAATAATGATTACATGATGCCTTCGTTTTCAGTGTATTAAGATGGAAAAATGCGGGCGCAAAACTAATGGGCCTTTCCGCTGAGCCCTCTTGCCTTTATGTTGTTGCCATAGTTCCACAAAACAACAGCGTAAACATACGTGAACATAGGTAAACTTGTGTGTTTATGGACATCCATCTGCGTAATATTGAGACGTGTTCTAATTAAGCACAAATAATTAACACTCCGAAAAGGTTCATTATGACGTATGTTTGTATGTGAGTGAGAGAACCAATTTAGAGCTTAACTGGTTGTCTTAATGTTATGAAAAGTTTACCGCAAAATGCACGCTAGGCCCGATGTAAAATTCTCCAGAAACGATTGCAGGTGTTTCGTTTTCACAATTGGAAGGATGCAATTGATTGAATCACAACAGGAGGCTTTATCTCACAGATCTTTTATTTCGAATCTACCTCTCCATGGTCACAATGGGCCTAATCGTAAAAATGAAACGACCTATTTCTCTGACGATGCTCTGTAAAATAAATTAGAGCCTATGTATTATTAATAATTTTCTTTTTTGCGGCTGGTGGTAACGGTTGACATTAAAAAAATTTGATGGTTAACGTTGATAAATTAAATCATGTAAAACAGAGAATATCAGTATGGTATTATATGTATCATCACCATCAAAAACATCGTCATCATCATCATCACATGAAACAGTATCTATACAACTATAATAAATTCATTTCAATTTACTGCAATACAGAATATGGACAACATGGTCAAATATTTAATAGTTTAAACAGAATTTAGGTAAATATTTGTTTAAAGAACAGTGTATCGTTTCACGTATTTGTTCATACAGTAAGGTACTATGTTTGTGTTATGAGTATGGTTATGTAAATGTTAAACATTTTTATGTTTGAAATGTTGCAGTTCAGTATTGTATGTAGCCCGCCCTCATCAACTGATATGAAAACAGTCTTAAGCACATGTTGCATGCACATGTCAATTGTATAACTTGAAAATATCTAATTAGGTTTTTATTTACGCATTTTATTTATTATTAAAATCTATCGATTTTAATTCACTGAGTATCAGTTTCGTCCCAAAATGTAATCTAACCTTAGGTACTGTGCAAATTTCGCACTGTATTAGGGGCTGTGTTTGAAACGGAATATCCATCTGAATGTTTAGTTGTAACTCTGGAAACTCAACAGAAATAATAGGCGCACATCTGCGCAGGTGTGATTTTGGGTGGAAAGGTAGGTTACCGGTACGTCCTGGTTTTATTGAAACAAATGTTATAGCTATTGTAATGTTCCACACAGGCAGCTAGTGCGTAGGTCGTTAATGTAACTAACATGTCCCTGAGCAGAAATAGCATTACCAATCGAATGTATCTTGATAATCAACTTAATCACTTCTCCTAATCAACCGATTTCGAGACTGTTTATCAAACATTGCATAAATGGGGTCGAGTTCGTTTGTAAAAGTAATATGATTAGGCTTTTCATAATTGTTGTTGCAAGTACTTTAAGAAGTCAAATTTTCTTCGAAGAGAGGCGGTATAAATCTTTAACGTGCGTAAAACTATCCATCAAAACCTTTTTGTTTCTTTCGTTGTGTTTGGCGCACGTGAAAGCATTATTTTTCTCTTGTCAAACATAACGTGTGCTAACTTCCCGTTAGCCAAGCTCATAAACTACGATTATGTTACGTGATTTAGAGAGAATGTTAATCTACCGCTTCAAATGATGCTAAAACAGAAGCATTGAAAATAACGCTTACGAAAGTGGGGTAGGGGGTTGTTAATGTCAGTCTTAATATACAGTTCACAAATGTAGTTGTCGGTCACCATGCGGTGTTAATAATTCGTAAACCTAGTGTTAATATCGAAAGGTTGAAAGGGTACCAGTATGTAGTTGGATATACAGCATAATTGATGTTTGTTGCATTTGTGGCATACCAAACTGCGGCTACGTTCGGATATTCTCACAAGATAGTCATGTTTCCATTTAATAGTCAGCCCGCACGTATTATGTAAATTACGTAACGCTATCACAGCATGTGGCGAGAATCGAAAGAAGCAAGAGTGAGTGTGGCCTAAAATATATTTTTCATATTAATATAATCATGAGAATATTGTATGCCACCACCGTAATAAAATCATCAAATTAAGGTAAAGGGCGAAAATTCGAGCGTATTAGCTGTTGTGAAGATTTTTATTTCCATCTTATCAAAATATATGATCAATTTACACGCACCTGGATAGTATGAAAAACACGATTAAACGGTAATGCACAATGGTTATAACAGTATCCAAACATCAAAAAAGCAATTATTATAAAGTGCTACATGTGTTACCATACGTGTGCACTGATGATTACGATTAATCAGCAGGAATGATGGAACGTGTGAGGGCGTGCCATATTAACTGTGAGAGTTTATTTACCGAGGAAAGCATTCATTCGCTCCCATACAGGCGGTCATTTCACATGTTACTCGTCTCCGCACATTGTTATGCGTAATCGTAATAACGATTCATTATATTACGTTTCAGAGAGGATCACCATCTTCACATGGTGTTTAAATCTAGCTGTCAATCAAGTTTGATAGCGCAACAGTGGGCGTGACCATTTGTAGACTGTCAAGTTTAGGATGAACTCACGGTGTCTTCAGCAAGATTGACGAACTTGCGTCACAAGGTGGTACGTGCAGTTTTCATCCAGTTTATAACAGAGCCGTCCCTCTCAATATCTCTTAATAATGATTGTTTTGTGGCAGTATCACTTAATGATGTGCTGAATTTGAACTTTGTAGTTTGTCGGTCTATCCCATTTTATGCGCAGACCCTTGGAGAGTTGGAGCACGCTACCATTATTTACCGTGCATTTCTGTAGACATCACGCAGCCACACTTAGACAAACCAGGCGTGGAAACAGCCCAGCTCTTTCAGACTTATGAAGCAGGAATCCATCTCAATGGCGAGCTCAAGAAAAACATATCCACAAGAAATGTTGTTTATGGTCGTGGGCCAAGATGGTGTTGGAAAATCTGGTAAGATGTTTATCAATCTGCAATCAGAAAATCTCACTAATGTAGCTTATTATTATACTAGGCCTATGTAATCAGCCCTTTGTTGCACCTTGCCGTAGTTTTATTCATGATGAGGATGAAGAAGTAGAAGATGATGATGATGATGATGATGATGATGATGATGATGAGGGTGAGGATGATGAGAGGACATCGGGGGAAAAAATGTTTGCGCTGTTGTACGAATACAAGTTATTCTGGAGCCAAGTCACGATTTAAATCCTCGATTACTACCAGAGTCAATGAGTGGTTCAAGTTATAATTCCATCATTGTATGGGGTGTAGATGTTGTCATCGGTGTTGCTAGAGCTACGCTCAAAACACAAGCTTGTACTAATAGTAATGGTAGTAGGCCTAGTGATGATAATGATGATGATGATGACGGCGACTACAAGTATTGTATATCAAAATGGGAGCTCAAACATGTTTGCGTTGATGAACACTCTGTGTTTCTGAGAACGCATCACTTGATTTAAACGCTTCGATTACCGTAGGGTCCACAGGGGGCTTAAGATATAATTCTTCAAACGTATTTTCATACTGCATCGGTTATTACCTTTACAGATACTCGAGCTACACGCAGGCACAAACTTACATTCAGCAATCTACAGTGGCGGATTCAAGGGGCCTTTTCAAAATTATTTTTTTAACGGAGAAAAAAGGAAAATGATAATTATATTTAGGTACGAGAGTGCTATTTCCTGTATCTAGAGGTGCCATAATCATAAATTTTCTTACTCAGCCACAACCATGGTGGGGCTAAGGGGATAACCTCCGTCTCTAAAAAGTTCCTCCCTGGAGCCCCTTTATTTAAAATTCCTGTATCCGCTACCGATCTATTCTAACTTAGCGCGTATCTAAGCAGGACGATTGAGCATGTGAAACACACGCAGTATGAGTACGCGATAGGTGAGCACACCGATTTTTTCTGTGGCGTTAGAAGCACGTACTTTCTTTACGAAAACTAAGCAGCCAGCTGCTTCCACGACATGTGAGCACGCAGCTTGGGTTTATAGGCAACTACGATATCTGAGTACCGTTATAACTTCAACACTCGTAGATACTTGTGCACAATACAGTGACACAAAACTCAATGCTCATAATATGCAACAGTCTAAAAATGTAACTTGAGCAAAATATCAGAGCACGCGAAGTTGTGCACGCAACTAAAGCACGCTATGTTCGACCATTTTGTGTTAGCGCGTTTATGAGCATGAAACGCTACTTTAAACTTGAATTTTACGTAAGCCAACGGTATCTATACGCTATAGCTCGTACATGGAACATGAATATACTGTACATGATTTCTTAAGAATCACACCTGTGTATTAAGTAGCATTAAGCATTGCCTGAACATGATGTGCACGACTGGTCCACATTTCAAGCGCCCTGAGCATCTTACATTAGATGGATATGTGCGCTATATAAAACTACACTATTATTATTATTATTATTATTATTATTATTATTATTATTATTATTATTATTATTATTATTATTATTTTTTAAAAAAAACATTCTGAACGGCCAAAAAGTGCCTGAACTCAAAAAGGCAAACATGTTTACCACTTTTAAACTAAAACAAATATTATCCGGAAAAAAAGACCTAAATAAAGTGAAACTAATAATAGGACTCATTAAACACAGGAATAGTGTTTTGCAATAGGCCTAGGCATAATTAAACTGAAGCTAATAGGCACTAATAGGAATCATTTAAGGACAAGTTTACCGATTTTATATAATTTAAGTTGAGAACTGATTTAGCATACAGTGTACTCATCCTGATGATGACATAATTAATGTCGAAATATTGAATCCCGACACGATGGCGTGCATTTCGATACTTGGAGTATGTATTATACTATCCTATCCGAGTTTAATCAGTGGACCTTTCGATACTCAGTTACATAATCTCACTTTTGAAATTACGAAAAAAAACTCGTGCGCGTCCGTTACTTAGACGCTCTAAACTAAATTTGAGATGACGTGTCAGGTGCATCGCTCCATCTAAACTTATCGGCAGGCCATAGGATCGGGATGGTTCTAGCTAGGCAAGTTCTTTGCATTATTACTATCCTTGTTTTCGTATAAAAATAATATCGGAAACTATAAATATGCCTATTTTGTAAGTAAAAATCGATATCATAAGTCAATCCCATTCGCCTTGTCATTCTGGGGAAACGTATGCGTAATGTATTCGGTAGACGGTTGGTGGTTCAGACGTAGTGAATCAGACTTAACGTAAAATTGATACATCGACGCAGAAACTAGATCAGGTAACCAAGGTGATCCATCAAGTGTTAATCATTGCTCTCTAAAAGGTTTATCAGTCCAGTTAATGTGAGTCTTAAATTTCGCGAACTGGCAATTCCAGTTTATGAGCTGCATCTACCACTAGGAAGTCACTGTTTTTATCTGAGCATCTGTGGCAGGGCCAAACTTAGACTTGTATTTCCTGTTCCTTGTACAGTATAAGCTATCCGAGACATTTCTTTTTGATAAGTCACTGGTCAGAGTAAAGTCAGTCCAACAGTCAGTCACAAAGTCAGTCCAGTAGGTCAGCCGGTCGGCCGTCATTCAGTCAGTGCCAATATTCAGTTCGTCTGTCGATCAGTTAGTCAGTCAGTCTGTCAGTCAGTCATCAATCAGCCACTGTCAGCCAGTCGGTCAGTCAGTAAGACATTAATAGGGAGTCTTTCAGTGAGGCAGTTAATAAAAACTACGTAGGCCTAGTGGTGTTTAAAGTAATAAACATAGGCATATAGTATTTTTCAGCATCGTTTAAGACGATCATGTAAACAATTTCAAACTCAATGGCAAAATCCTTCTTTTCACAATTGTTATTAACACCCATCGCTAGAATGACAGGTGGACGTCTGTAAGCAAGGGGGTATTCATTAGATGTAGGCCTGCTACTCGAGAAAATGTAATTTCATATCATTCCAATGTCAACGCGTTTTAAAATTTCCAATTAAATGCCAATTCACGTAGACCAGGGGCCCCCCCCCCCGGGGGGGGGTTGGGGGGGGGGGGGGGGCGGCCCCGGCTCCCCCTTTTGGGAGGTAAAAAAAGAAAAAAGAAAGAAAAAAAGAAAGAAAAAGAAAAAAAAAATGATAGCCCAGAACGCCTCAAATGTTATTTTCGGGCGTCTAGAACACAAATATTTCGCGGGGGCATTCCCCCGGACCCCCTAGGACATTGTTGTCTCGATCGGCCCAAATTTCGGCCCCCCTTTCGGGGCCCCCCCCCCCCTTTTGGACATCACTTGGAATCCGTCATTTCCACATAATCAATTCGCTCACGTGTTTAATGCTTATCTTTACACATAAGAATCACAGTGTTACATAAAATGTTAAAGTTGATATACATTAATTTCTGCCTGGATGAAAAATTACACATAAGGGACAATGAATGAAGCACCCTCGTCCCACCTGTGCACCTGTTGCATCGACTGAATTTAGACAAACATTTAAGACATGATCCGCGAAATTCTACTTCATTTCATTTTATTACTTCTCATTTGGGACTCACATGAGTGATGCCAAATTGCTCTAGTTTTAATGAGTTTCATAAAAATACTTCCCATTGTTAATCAAATAAAAAGGAATGCAGAGCATGATTTATGTAGACTCTTTTTAGATATTGGCGCCTGTGCTGTAGGCCTAGGCATACCGGATCACTCAGTACAGTATGAATAATGGACCTCTAGGTATCAATAATAACATTAATCATGCAGAGAAGCATTCCAATGACACATATCCCACTTATATAAGGTGGTGTTTATGAAGTCTTGAATGTACCAACGAAAGGACACCACATGAAAATATATCCAAAAGTAGATCATGCATGTGGTGTTATATCATTTTCGATTTACCTACACAAATATAATAAATACAAGTAAATATTTTTTCTCCGCGGATGTTCGACTCATTTTAAATCGTCAACTCCGATAATAAATTTAGTCACGATGTCAATAACAAGGATCAAACTTTAAAATTTGTGTATAAATAGCCATTTCTAGAGAATGACTTGTGTTATTATTATACTTGTAACGATAACAAGGTAAACACACATAAGAACATACGAAAAATAAGCTGCATAATATATTTGCCGAGCACGGATTTTGAATGTGTCGTGTTCTGATGGGAGAACGAATATCTCGATGGACAGATAGAGTAGGAAAATGATTAGCTTCTTACAAATCAAAGAAAAGACGAGTTCTATTTTAAACTGCTATATAATAATATGTTCTTCAGAAAAACTTGTTCTTCAATGGAAGATTTGAATATTGTTTTTAACAGAGAATGAATTACATGTTTTTGAAAGATGTAAAAGTCATTACTGTATTAATTTACACAATTTTGTTTTACCAACATTCCTGACTTGCTCATATTGACTGAAGAAAAAAAATAACGAATTTTGTAAAGAATGCTTTGTTTATATAAACATTATACAAAGAGAGATAAAAATAAAAAATGAACATTGAAAAATTACGAAGTGCATTTATGCGCTTTACAACAGCTTATAAAACAAAATAGCTCTTCAATATACCGTACCGGTACCTATTAACAAGGTGACGTGTTGGCAAACACTGCTAAGTTTCAAACGATTGAACGTTTGTGTTTATTTTTCAGCAATAGTGGTGAGGTATCTAACACACAGATTCATCGGCGATTATGACCCCCAGCTTGGTAAGTATAAGCCGATATTTGCATTTCATTTCTTTTGGCACGAGCGCCAAGGATATGCCAATCAGCGAACTTAATCACTATCCTACATGGCATATAAGCCTCCCTGATGAACCGGTACACCGGGGTAACCCCCTACTCTTTTTGAAGGATGTACTGGGCCTACAATTTGAAGTCCTTATCCGAGAAGACTTATTACCCGTAATTATAGTAGTAGTAGTAGCAGTAGCAGTAGCGGTAGCTGTTGCTGTTGCTGGTGCTGGTGCTGTTGCTGTTGTTGTTGTTGTTGTTGTTACTACCGGTAGTATTCTTAAAGACATTTCATTTAATTCAAAAATAGACACAAAATTCTGAAAGTCAGTAATAAACAACACAAGTATTTATCATCGAGGAAAATTTGCACTGAAAATAAACGATCTTTAGCGGATTAGAGCTTTGCTCTGGATTGGTTCGTATTGTCTGTGGCTGGAAATATTATTGTCAAAAGCGAGCACATCTCTATCGCCTGATAAGCCTAGGTAATTGTTTATTATTCACAAACAGGAAAACTGAAAAAAAAATATACGGAAATCAAAATAGACCTAGCCCTATAATTACATCAAATCTACACAATAAAAATCCTCTGTCATATCGTACCGTCTTAAGCTATGGCCAAAGAACGATTAGCCATTTCCGGATTGTGATTACCAGGAAAAAAAAGTAGGCCCTACCGTGTTTATGTGATTTAATAGACCTATTTTGGTCCCGGTCTCTATCCACTCGGACCCGATTAGTGTTCGTGATAGGCCACTTAGTGCAATGAATGGGATCAATAGGTCTGTCTACCACAGCAGCTGTAGACACTGCTGCAGCTCGGATGCGATTAGATATTACTTTGTCATTGTCGACTGACATTTATGCGCTGGATCAAGATCAACTTTTTTGCTGGCATCGTTGTTGAAAAGTTTATATAACAAATTATAAGCAGAGAACCTACATTATGAGAAAAAGTGCTGATGAATGTGGTTTTAAATGAGTTCATGACAACGATACAATTAAATGAATGAATATTTATGACAAATAATGACTACATTAATTACGAAACAGATGGATTCATCAGTGTATGGCTAGATTAGATGTTTGTGTTATATGTGGTCAGTGTACCGTAGTCGATTAAACGCAATTTAAATTGCAATGGCGTTGATGAGGATAAGTACGGTAAAGGACGATTGTGATATAATACCTAATGAACAAAAACCAATGAAAGCGAGTAGCTTGATGATGATGTTAATAAAATTCAGATGATAATGGTGATGTTGATAATGGTGACATTATTGTGGTGGTGGTGATAATAATGATGTTAATAAAGATGATAATAACGATAATACTGTGTGGCAACAAGCCAGTGATGCATGGCGCGTGCGGTGTTACGTGCTGAGCTTGGAGTTGCGCAACAAACAGTGATGGCGCCACTGACGCCACGTATCAGCGTCAACCGATATGCGGTTTAAAGATAATGGTTATAGCTTATAATGATGAAAATTAATATTGTTGAACTGGCTTATTGCTTCCATTTTTTTAAATTTTTCGTTTTAAATCTCAGCAAGAGATAACAATGAAGGAAACTGGTGTTTAAGCCTGTACATAAACTAGTGAGTGACGTTAATATTAACGCAGATTGAATGAGCGCAATTACTTAATGGAGCAGAAGTAATAGACGACAGTTTAACCCAAAGAACAAATTAGTAGCTGTGGTAAATCCAAACCATCAAATTAACACTGATATTTAGAAAATGTTGGACAAGACGGGGCTTATATCCGGCTTAGTATAATGGGTTTGATTCAAAGTAACGGAAGTCTGACCCCGGTGGTTTAAATTCTGACCGCCTATTTCTCTGAAGATGGGATCATCCATCCTGAATATGTGTACACTATTTAATTGATTTAGTGCATATATAGCTATGGTGAGGTTTTAATAACGCATTACTTAATAGTTCACCGGGGTTCAATCATATCGTTTCAGAGTCTGTTTACAGCCATATGACGAAGATAGATGACCAGTCGATACTCTTGAAACTCTGGGACACGGCAGGTGATAACGTAAGTCCGGTCTTTTAGCTATTCAACAATGCAAATTAGAAACAATGCAAGCATCTATGTTTGCTATGCGTGACTGTATGTTGATACAACTGATATTAAGTAATTACTGAAGGTGTAAAAGGGACAGTCCCCTATGTGTTTACGACAAAATGTTTAATCTTGTATTCATCCTTCCTCTAAAAATATGAAAATATAATAAACATGATGAGCTTTCGGCCATGTAATTGGTGGAGAGGCAGTACGTACCCCATTCAAATAACGCGCGAATATGATTAGGTGATTGGCTGCCGATTCCTACCATAGTTAGACATGACGCGCGCAATCAACAACGACGTCATCAGTGATAACAAGTGACTTATCGTTATAATGCATAACTGTTTACATAGATCAAAAAAGGCAATAAGCATTCCGACATATGACGATCACTATGCCAATATGAACAATGCAACGTTGCCAAAGTCATAACATTTGATTTTAAACGATGGCACATTTCAACAACGGCCGTAATTAATGACCAAGTAAGCGCTGTGCCAAAACATCTCCGTTCATTTGTATTGATGGTTTTTGTTGTTAAAACGAAAAATATAAAATTTACTCAATGGTGAAAAAAAATAATATGCCTGATTGAGCGGGCTTGATCTTGTTTGCATTTTTAAAAATTCAAGTCATGCTAACAAATTAATTTTCATTATAAAAGATAAATAGAGTGATTAGATTTTATTTGTATCGATTTACGTCTGATAAATTAACCGCAATATTTCTTATTATTCCTTCATTACCGAACAAAACGAAATTTCGAATTCAAAAAATGATGAATTATTTTATTATTAGGTTGCTCTCCAGGCTAAATATGACATACAGTATTGCGAACTCTAACGATGAGCAAATGATATAAATTGGGTTGCGCGATGTACTAATAGCTTTCAAGATTGCATTTTTAGCAAGAATAAGAATGAAATAATAGGTTTATCCTTTTCTGTTCAAACGGCACTAAAGATTCGAGAATGTTTGTCCTTCTACATCTCTCCACTTGTTATGTCAGTTGGTTTAGTTGATTTGTTTTGTTTTATTTTTTGTAAGTAGTAGGCTATTGTTTATTATTGTTTGAGTCACTAAAATTGGATAAAGGAAAAACAAGTAACACTTTAAAAAAAAATAATAATAACTCGGATCCGAGGCTGAAATTGCTTAAAAATAAGAACAAAATAAGAACAAATTGAGGCTGAGGTAAAATGTCAAATGCGGGGTTTTTTTTTTAATGGAAAAAAACAACAACTTATTTTGGTCTTATTTGTGAGGCTTACATTATCTGCAGTATTTTTGACTATGTATCCTCTATTATACAGTACAGTTGCTGTACAATAATAATTGTCAATCTTTGAAAAGTGTGTAAAATAAGGACAAAATAAGAACATTTCAAGACTGAAATTGGCAAAAAATACTGAGCCTGGGCAAAAGTTTACTGGTTCTTGTAAAAAAAAAATGTATGTCAGTGAGACATTCAAATGCAGACAACGTGATCAACGTTTCATTCTAACTTTTATCCATATTATTACATTTTCTTTGGTAGCCTAATAGTAATAATTTTGCAGCGCTACACATAATACAGTTATTTAGCAGCAAAATACCTTCACAGGTTTTCCAATATCAGATCTTCCTTACAATTAATTATGTTGTCAGAGTATCGACGTAAATCTTTATAGAGCTGGCATGGAGGGTAAACATTCCTCTCTTCGCAATAAGTTGGACAACATAAATAATCTTAAAATAGCAGCCAAGTTCAGCAAGCTGTAGCGCTATTATTACAATGGTTGTTGACACCTTACGACCCCAGCTCTTCGATGGACTTTATAATAATTAAATGATAAAACCCATGGTATATAGTGATAATAATGATGGGATGGTTATTCATTCTTCGATTTTTTAATACAATATAAAGCTCATGATAAATGATAATAGTGATCATGTGGTAGTATTGTAGTGGTGACGACAACGACGATGATAAGGATGATAGTAACGAGGATAATGAGGATGTTGGTGATGAAATAATGATGAAGGTGATGATGATGTTGATGAGCATGATAATGATGATGATGATGATGATGATGATAATGCCAAAGCATGTAGGCTTACCTTAATACAGGAGGCCATAAAACAGACTCGCTTACGTTGGGAAAATCCTTACGTTTTTAGGATTGCATATTCACCCTAGGAGACTGGATGGCAAGGTCGCTCTTATGATCATATGTTTTTTCTTTCTTACATCCTATCATAATAATAATGCTGGCCTTCAATCATTAAAGAACATGTCATACATTATATTATATTATTTTGTTATCTCTGTACAGGACAGTGAAGACAACGAAAGACAAGAACAGATACGGAAGTGCGATGGGTTTATCTTCGTGTTTTCTCTAACCGATCGGGACAGCTTCGTTTGCATGAAAGAATTAAGGGACAGAATCCTTCGGATCAGGCAACCAAATGAGAAAATTGCACATTCAATTGTTATTGGCAACAAATCAGATTTGTCCCATTTTCGAAATGTAGACTCATCAGAGGGTGCTCTTTTTGCTAAAGAGCTAGGCGGACAATATTATGAACTTTCTGCAAGCGACGGCTATTTGAATATCGTCGATGCATTCCAGGACCTGTATAGGGAAATCTTTCGGTCAGAAAAACGCGCCAAAGTAAAGAAAATTACAGCTAGGCTGCAATTGAGACAGACGCTGAGAAACTTTACCGATAGGCATATACGAGCAAGGACATACACACTATAATTCCAAGGTATATTATAGTTTCATTGAAACATTAACGCAGCTGTCTTTAAAAAGACATGGCAGTAGTTATTATGTGAGACAGGTGCAATCATTATCGTCCGCAGAATTTACACCTTGATTGGTTTGTATATTTTGGTGTGAAACACACCAAGTAAATGATGACCAACGAAAGTCCGAAGACTTACTTTCAGTGGGGACTTCCCGGTGGCAAATTCTGCAGTACACTTGGAGACAATCCCTTGATCTTTGCCGAAGAGTACAACGTTTTAAAGTGTACACGGCAACAATGAACGCTGAACCAACGGCTTAAACCTCTCTTCCGAAAGACGGTGTGTTTTCTGTGAAAATCAAGGCCTATTCCTCTAATGCTCAACCGAAAAGAACAGAAATGAAAAATCCACAGACATCTGATGAGAATGTGTCTCCTAATAAAGCGTAGCTACTATAGCTAATTGACAAAAAGCATGTGTACTTTCAAATACAGTAGGCCTTTAAACATTTAATCATGCTATTAATAACAACACTAAATAAGAACTAATTTTTTACGATGTACCGTAATCCAAGGAAATCTTGTCTGTTGGCCTTGAGAAATAGCAGTTGCCATGGCATTCAGCTACAGCTGTTACCATAATGCAGAGTGTCAGTTACTGTATATGGTTTTATGTTTTGCTATAGCAATTTCAGTTAATTATTATAACAACCGATTTTCATGAGAATTAGAACGCACGTGGCCCTGCTTTATAGCGAATACGAAGTTTGTGTACTTGTCAGTCGTCTGAGACTGACCACATGGTTTGTCCTTAGCAAGGCATTTCTGCGTTGTTTCTACCAATGTTGCTGGTAAGCGTTGCAGAACGACTGGCAGTGGAGTGGGGACGATGGAAGGGCTGGCTCTTTCCGGTTTTCTCGCACTATGTTCTAATACAGGTCTGTTAAAAACTAAAAAGAAAACGTATACTGCGTTTTTGCGCTATGAACTTTCTTCAACATAAAATAAAATTACATCTATTTTCATTGTACAGTAGTAATTTTTATTTGTACTAACGAAGTTCTCCTTTCAACTTGTGTTTTCATATTACGTGTTCAATTATATTATTGTTTCCAAAATATGTACAGCGTTGTAAAATTCGTCCTATTTTTTCAATAAAATTTTCAATATCGTATTTTTGCATACCGGTATTGTATTTATAACCTATTCTCTAACATGCTGTTGAAACATGGAAACGCGCCGTATTCATTCAAGTTGGTGCTAAAAATAGCATTATTAAAACTAGCAATTCTCAAAACAACTACTGGTAATTGTGATAAAAGAACATAAAAAAATCACATATACGAACAAACAATTTAAATTGTTTTCCTTTAGGCAAATACAACTATTTCCTCGATACAATTTGCATCAATAATACGTGTGCAGACGTCTAGGACTTTTTGTTATTCCAAAGCATCTTACAATGACAAGTTGTACATTAATTTTAACGTGTCTCTCTCGAATTAATTATTGTCAAACCCGTTTCTATCCTGTCCAACTTTTGAAATTAAAGAGTTATCCATTATGGTAGTAAATTCACTAGGTACATGCAGCGTGTAGAAAATTTGCATAGACGCGCGAATCCGTCCTCGTATTCGGTAAATTGTTTTATTGCGTTTAATTTACCTCATGATTTGTAGACTCGCAAAAGACCGTTTGGACTATAAACCAAGCATGAAATTAAAAAACAAACCCCCAGTAGGTCAATTGAAATAGCTTAAACACAAAAATATGACGTGTTACTGTAAAAATAAATACAACCGGGTATCGGCATAACGTGAACGAGGAAATGCATTTAGGCCGTCGTGGACACTATTGATGATAAATATACACACTTAGGAACGTTAAAATGCAATACCTGTACTTCATAAATCCTATTAAAATTAATTGTAGTTTCGCCCCCGCTTTTTCTTTTGGAGGCCGGGTGGCAATGTTTTAACAGCACTGTTCATGTTCATGTTATGACAGATAAGATATTTGTGACCGACTTTACTGTCCGCAACATGGACGAACTTCGAGATTATGAACCAAGCATAACGGCATATTTATTAATAACATGGCCTAGAACTGCAAATAGTAATATATATATATTTTGTCGAATCTTTTCATGATGTTGAATTGATGTCCCGTAAAATGAATAATTCGGAATTACTGTATCTGCTTCAGCGTATCTTCATTTTTTAAACTATGCATATTAAAAAAGGAAATCAGAATACGACATAACGGAAATATATCGCGCTTAAAAAAACTTAAAACTAAAAACAGGACAATTTCTCATTAAAATGAGAGCACATTCATTCTCTTGTCGAACTTGCATTTTTATTGGCTTTGATGAAGGATTAGGCAATTTAGATGTGTATACGTTAGCAAACTAGTGACTACGTTGTTACCGCGTGAGAGAGTACAGCACTTTTAATTATAAGTCAGTGGTATTTTTACACATTTACAAACACGATCATTTATACCTGGAAGATGAGTACTAATTGTAGGGCTACATTTTAAAGGATGACGCGATACGCATAATTTTAGTTATTTTATGTGTCATCTTATAGCTTCACTTATGCATGTGTATGTCAAAAGTCGAGGTAATAATCTGTCTCAACACCAACAGAACGTTAACAGAATATATACAGTATTAAAAATTCCATTCATGCTTTTTGATAGACTACATGTGCACTCTGTACCGTAGTTCGACATAGGCTTACACACACATCATGCGCGAGTGAACCTACGGAATTACGGCTACTTTCGGAGACAGTAATGAATCCGATCGGAATAATGTATTATAATGAATTATAGTTATGTGCCATCTTATAGCTTCACCTATGCATGTGTATGTCAAAAGTCGAGGTAATAATCTGTCTCAACACCAACAGAACGTTAACAGAATATATACAGTATTAAAAATTCCATTCATGCTTTTTGATAGATTACATGTGCACTCTGTACCGTAGTTCGACAAAGGCTTATACACACATCATGCGCGAGTGAACCTACGGAATTACGGCTACTTTCGGAGACAGTAATGAATCGGAAATGTGTTTAAACACTCCAGTGGACTTGATTTTAATCTGTCTGGCGGCGCTGTTTATATGTTTCTCGGAATTTATGGTTACGTCAGCATCGTAAAATGAAATGTACACCCATTTGGAGAAAATAATATATAATTATATATATATATACACACATATATATATACACACACATGTTTCACCCCCCGGGAGACCCATCGTTTCGGGAATTGGAACTCTAACTGAACGACTATCAGGATTTGTTAATTCCATACTCAACCCTATGCTTACCAATATTGATAGTTACATGCAGGACACTACTCACTTCTTAAACAAGATCAACAATATACCGAATCTAAGCGCAAACGCATTGCTCGTAACCATGGATGTAACATCATTATACACCAATATACCGCATGATCAAGGATTAGCCGCCTGTGAGTCGTTCATCCGAAAATTTGCACCTAGTGAACCTGCCGCCGATATATGTGCCATTATTAAATTCATTTTAACCCACAACAACTTCACTTTTAAAGACAGACATTACTTACAGATTAAAGGGACTGCCATGGGCATATTGCTATGCCAATATATTCATGTGGGAACTTGAAGAGAATTTAATGGCCAATCTAACTCACAAACCCGACTATTACTCTAGATATATAGACGATGTATTTTTCATTTGGAATCATGGTTTAGATAAACTTATAGAATTTAAGTCTTTTATTAATAATTATCATCCTTCTATTAAGTTTACTATTGAGCACTCTCACAAGGAAATTGCGTTTTTAGATGTTAATGTTAAATTAGATAATGGCCGAATTTGTACTTCTGTGTATAATAAACCGACTGACAACCATAAGTACCTTGACTTCAAGAGTTTCCATCCGACATCGTTAAAGAAATCTGTTACAGTCAATGTTTACGCCTTAGGCGAATATGTTCTGAACCTGACGACTACCAGAAGCAAGTTTCATTGTTGATTAGCCATTTTCTTAAATGTCATTACCCACTTAAGTTCATAAAATCAGCAATTAGAAAGGCCTCGTCTAAAACCCGCCAAGAACTCCTTACTTACAAGAATAAATCTACCTCTGATCGCATACATATGATTTTTAATTACAACCCTACGATTACTTCATTTGCTAACACATTAAAACAAGACTACAAAACTCTTCAGGTAGACCCCACTATTAAATCTTCATTTGAAAGCGGAAATCAGAATAAAGCCACCATTAGGAGAAGCTGATGATGTTTAGGCCTATGTAGACTACACCCAGTTTCTAATTCATAATACACAAAAGCTGATACAAAGACACTCCTAGCACTGCAGCAGAAACCTATTGTAGACCAGCATCAAGACAAACACCCCATTGTCCACCCCTACCTTACAATGGTATAATCCATTGTTGGGTGGCTTTGGACAGGGGTGGCTACATTCTTGAAAGCATACCTGTACTAGCTCAACGCCAGCCCCACAACCTTAAGTCTCTATTAACGTCGTCTAGACTGTTATCCCCGGCTCATAACCAGGAAAAGGGCAACAGACCATGTGGTAATAGAAGGTGTAAACTTTGCACTATCATCAATACTGATATTAAGTTTGTAGTACCGGGCACTAGTCACTGTATACGGCCCCCGATATTAGACTGTTCAGCTTCCAATGTTGTGTATTTCATTTTTTGTAATTTGTGCAACCATGGTAATTATGTAGGTGAAACTGGTTGTAGCATAAGATCGAGAATGAACAATCATAAAAGCTACATTAGGAATAAAGATAGAAAATCTACAGGCCACTCAATATCTAACCATGGACCTATTAATGGTCCATAATCTAACCTTCGATTCATTATTATAGGCAATGGTTACATAACAACGAAAGCCAGAAGATGTGCTGAGATGCGTTGGGTTTTACACCTCAATACCCATAAACAAGGCCTTAATAAAGATCTTGGCATTCTAAGTGGCTATACATTCATTGACTGTTATTAGACATCACAGCTATAGTTTATTTCCAGCTTTTCTATTCTTACATTGTTGTCATATAATTTATTAATAGTTAATACCACACCTAATGTATATGTTAGTACTTTGAGTATATGTTCAGTACGGTTAACGCTGATGAAGAGAGCAGGAGCTCTTGAAATATTCGTAAAATAAATTATCTATATCCTGAAAAGTCAACCGTGTTCATCTTTATTTTGATTAACTTCGTATTGTTTTATATTATTCGGGATATACATGCACCCATCATCATGATGCCTCTACAAAGTATACATA